TGTGAGCCACTGTGCCCAGCCTATACTGTATATTCTTACAATAAAGGAAGTTAGAGAAAAGAAAATGTTAAGTCATATGCAAGAGAAAATATATTTACTCTTCATTAAGTGGATGTGGCTCATCATAAAGGGTCCTCATTCTCATCTTGTTGAGTAGGCTGAAGAGGGAGGAGGAAGGGGAGGGGTTGGTTTTGCTGTCTCGGGGTTGGCAGAGGTGGAAGAAAACTTGCCTATCAGTGGCCCTGTGCCATTCAAAGCCGTGTTATTCAAGAGTCTGCTGTACTTCTCTCATGGCGTGGAGGGAAGCGCAGTGGCATGATCTCAGCTCACTGCATCCTCTGTCTCCCGGGTTCAAGAGATTCTCTTGCCTCAGCCTTTCGAGTAGCTGGGATTACAGGTGTGCACCACCACGCCTGACAAATTTTTTTTGCTATGTGTGTGTGTCTGCCTGTCTCTGATTCACATTATTTGGGACACTGGGCAACAGCAGTTTTGTTTTTGTATCTCTTCTAGTATCCTTGCATGTGGTCACCAATAAATTTTTACTGGGTGTGTTGGTGGGAACAGAACCCCCTGCAGAAGATCTGGCAAGCCTGGACTCTGCTTGCCAGGGTGGGGTAACACAATGGAGGGAGAGTGGGTTTTAAGCCCTTTGCTTTGCACTATCTGGCTTAGAAGTCGATCTCCATGCTGATAGAAGTGATCAGTGGCTCACTGGGTCCTACCCAGGATACATTAGAGCAGATTGGTAAAACCAAGGAAATGTGGGGTTTTGGGTTTTTTGTATGTTTGTTTTTGGAGACAGGGTTTGGCTCTGCCATCCAGGCTGGGGAGCGGTGGTACGATCTCAGCTCGCTGCAACCTCCACCTCCCAGCTCAAGCGGTCCTCCCACTTCAGCCTACCGAGTAGCTGGGACTACAGGATTGTGTCACCATGCCCGATTAAGTTTTGTATTTTTGTAGAGATGGGGTTTTGTCATGTTGCCCAGGCTGGTCTCAAACTCCTGAGCTCAAGCGAACTGCCTGCCTCGGCCTCCCAGAGTACTAGGATTACAGGCGTGAGTCACTGCGCCTCGTCGGAAATGTGTCTTTTTAACACATTCCCTAGGTTATACTAATGCATGCTAAAATTGAGAACACTGAGCTTTTTCAGCCCAGAGCCTGTGTTCACATTTCTTTGGAGGCGTTATGGATTTTCATGCCCTCACATGTTCTATGTTCTTACTACTTTAACTTCTCTGTAAACAGAGAAGCTTTTTTTTTTTTTTTTTTTAAAAAGAAAAACAAAAACAGTATCTAAGACTTGAGCCCAATCTCTCCTTTGCTCCTTTAGAAGAAGATTAGGCTTTGTATTTGAAGGGCTCTTTTTTGGTTCTGCTTCATTTAATAAAAAATATTTTTTTTCTGTTTTGCAGTCCCATGAGCGTGTAAGCAAGCGTCTACATCAGAGATTCCAGGCCTGGGTAGATAAATGGACCAAGGAGCATGTGCCCCGTGAAATGGCAGCAGAGACCAGCAAGTGGCTCATGGGTGAGGGGCTGGAGGGCCTGGTGCCCTGTACCACCACCTGTGATACAGAGACCCTGCATTTTGTGAGCATTAACAAGTATCGTGTCAAATACGGCACAGTATTCAAAGCCCCTTAACTGCAAAGCCAGAGCAGATAACTTGGGGTGTGTGTGGGGGTGTGTGTGTAGGCCTATGCATTCACACACTGAAGAAACAAGGAAGATGCCTTTCAAGCCTCACTGGGCCTCTCTGGGACATGGCCACCTGACCTGTGTGTGGCTGGTGCAGCCTGGCACCAAGTGGGCTACCTGTTAGGAACATGAATACCTTACAAAGCTGAAGCTGGAACTTTTCCAAAGGGTTTTGGGTATAGCCTGCCCTGGAGGGGAAGGAAGTCCTTGCAACAAGCAAAGACGTGCAGTTTGCTTGCACACACCAGCAGAGCTAAGACTGGAGTCTCCTGTGGCCTAACTTTCAGTGAGGGAACCGGATGCTGTTCACACTTTTGACTGGATGGAGATGCATTTACAAAACAGACTGGGGAAGGACTTAATACTCAGATGGATTGGAACTATCATGGTCACTGCTCCTCTCCCCTCCCCACAAAAGGAAAAAAAAAAAAAAACTGGATTTGATTTTTTTTTTTCTGGTCACTTGAGCACATCTAAGATCACCCATTAGGTTTTATCTGGGACCTGCAGTTTGGCTTTGGGATTGATCATCTTGTGGATTTTATTCCTGACGAATCCCTTGCTGCCTACCCTTTCCTTTGGTTCTCAACCTCAACGAGTTCAAATCAGTCGTCCTTTTTAGCTCCCGTGGAACTGTTTTGTATCTGCCTCTTTACTAGTCTACCCTAGTGCCATCCACCAGCTTTACTCTCTGACACACACATGCACACACACACGATTTTAACTTGTTTTTTTGTACATAATGTACATACTGTCAATTTTTTATTAAAAGAAATATGCTTTGATGTGCTAGCATAATTGCTCTAGCTTCTTGTGTACCATAGTACTATGTGGTTTCAGATTTAGTACCTATGAACAGATGTACAAGACATTTATTACACTTTTTACCAAAGGGAGTTACCATTGTAGTACTTTTGTGTAAAACTTGTCTTCCCCTTTGCCCCCAACTTTTTTTTTTTTTTTTTTTTTTTTTTGTAAATAAATAAAGCTTGGTTCTTACTTAAGGAATAAACTCTCAACCCACGTCCCTTGTCCTCACCAGAAAATACTGTGAAGCAGGGATTTTGGTTTCAGTTCCTTATCCAGGGTAGAAACAGGATTTTGCTTTAAATACTTGTTACTTGTTCCAAATCAAAATATTCCAAAATCTTAGAATACTTCAGTCTTTTAGTACATGTTTTTTCCCCTTGTTCAACTATCTGAAAATATTTTATATTTGGGTAAGTTGTCAAGCTATGTAGTTTGTATTTCTATATATTTTTTCTTATTCACATTGGTGATGGATGGGGGTGAGCAACTTAAATACCAAACCAGTATTTGAAAAAAAGTGTGTATAAGGCATGTGGTATACCTTATAAATGGGGTTGGGAGGGAGAGAATTTGAAATGGGATACCTATTTTTTTAATTACATAAATTTAAACTAGCATTTAAACATGAATGATTAGAATTTTTCTATGTGGTTAACCTGGACTTTCTGAACAAAGACCAACTGAGCCCCTCCCAGTACTCTGGTGGATTTTTCTTCAGCAACCATTCCGCAAGTCTTAGTCGTAAGCAGCAATGTTTTGTGTGTTTTATGTTTGCTTTTTAGTTAAAAATCACCACCACCACCACCAAAAAGAAAAATTTTTTGGCTCTTGGATTTTCAAAATACATGGTAGACCTGATTTTAGGCTTTTATTATTGTTTAAAGACAAAGTCTCACTTTATGACCCACACTGGAGTGCAGTGGCACGATCATAGCTCACTGCAGGCTTGACCTCCCAGGCTCAAGCAGTCCTCCCACCTCAGCCTCCTGAGTAGCTGCATGCCACCACACCCAGCTAATTTTTTAACTTTTTGTAGAGACAGGGTCTTGCTATGCTGCCTAGGCTGGTCTCAAACTCCCCTCCTCAAGCTGTCCTCCCACCTCGGCCTCCCAAAGTGCTGAGATTACAGGTGTGAGCCACCAGACCCGGCCTGATTTTAGGCTGCTTTTGTACTGGGGAGAGGAGACTGTGAGCCAAAGTGTAGGGTGCCAAAAAGAGCTTTGTGGGATAAGATTTTAGGGCAAAACTGGGGCAATGTCGACTTGGGAGTGGTCATATGTACTGATTTTGGGGAAAGATCCTGAGGTTTTCTCAGAAATGATTCACCTATTCCCCTGTGTTCCCTCAAGAAAGGTCATGTTGACCTGGAACCGTAGGGGAAATTGGTGGGGTGTGATCAGGGTCAGCCCTGGCTGTTGCTGCCCCTGCACAGTGTTACATCCTGAGCACCTGCCTGCAGGTCAGGATAGGATTTCAAGGCCAGTTCAGGAGAAAGTCCCAACCCACCAGTGCAACCAACAGAGACAGTTTTACCTATAGCCTGGGTTTTCACAAGTAGCATTTTTATTCCTCCTGCTGTCTGACATCTGAGCTCCAAGCTCTAAACCCAACCTGTATTATATGCAGCAGCAGGTTATCTTTATTTTAAATCACATTTGGTATTCTGTACTTAGTCACCTTTCCGTGTGATTTGCATTTGAAATGTTGTAAACTTGGTCCGTATTTCCATTAAAATATCAGGGCTAATCTTGTGTATTTTTTTTTTGTTTGTTTGTTCCTAATGATTTTATAGACACTCTCTTGGCAACCCCAGGAGAAAAAAACAAAGCTGTCAGTGGAGTACTAGGGGTGAGAATGAAACTGGAGTTCTGTTTCTGGTATTATGACTTCCCTGGACTCTACAGTCCTGTATGGTGAAATACATTTTTCCATTGGAATCGTCAATGCCATGACTGTTCTGCCACCTCAAACTCCAGAGTTTCTGGTGATGTGCAAGAGTTAGCAATATACGTTCAGTAAAGCCTGTAATCGAGGAAGTCGTGGTAACTTGGGCATATAGCTCTACTAACACCCTGACCTCCGTCCGGTATGAAAACACCTATTCCGGGTAGTCTGGCTCTCCACGTTAAGCAAACACCACTTTCTGTGTTCAGCGACAGCTAGAGCCAGAGGTCTCCCTGCCGGTTGCTGCTTCTGAGGCTGGGTCTGCAGCAGCTGAAGCTAGTGCCCTTCTTGCTGAATGGCCTAAGTCTCTGTCCCGAGACTTTCAGGAGTTCTCATCGTCAAATTTCCCATTTTATTTTGAGATTTGCCCTGCGGCCCACTATCTCGGACAACATAGGGGAGCCTCAAAAACACAGTTTCTAGCTTCCAACTCGGCTCAAGGTTCAGACAGCAGCTGGGCTTCCGAGTGCCGCCGGTGTGCCAAGAAAAGCTGCCCGGGACTGGGAGGCGCCCTCTGGACGCCGGAACCTTTGGTTTCCTGCTGTGGAGCGGGACTGTAGCGCCAGGGGCCTTCCGGAAAGAGGAGCGCGAGCTCGGCGATGGCGGCTGCGCCGGCCCTGAAGCACTGGCGCACCACAGTGGAACGGGTGGAGAAGTTCGTGTCGCCACTCTACTTTACCGACTGTAACCTCCGCGGCAGGTGTGGCCCTGGTCTCGGTAGCCGGCCGACCGCATCCGTGCGCTTCAGGCTTTCCTTCCGGGGAGAAACCCAAGCTGCAGCCACCCGGGCCGCAGGATGAAGTGCACGCCGCGGGCAGGGCAGAGGCCGGGGAGGAGGGGGTAGGGAATGGACTGCCGCAGCGCGGCCAGGCAGCCCTCTTGGCGGAGGATCCAGGGAAAGTGCGGCCCCACTGGCCAGCTGGCACCCAGGCGGAAACCGGGCGGCCTCCAGCATGTGCCCACTGGCCCGTCCTACGCAGGCTTTTTGGGGCCAGCTGCCCTGTGGCTGCGCTCTCCAGCTTCCTGACGCCAGATAGGCTTCCCTACCAGGAGGCAGTCCAGCGGGACTTCCGCCCAGCACAGGTCGGCTGCAGCTTCGGACCCACGTAGGTAACGCCCAGCGGGTGGGCGGGGCTACGGGTCTAAGGGAAGTCCCAACCCAGCTCCCGGCCACACCTTCGTTGTCCGCCGTCTGCCCTAGGCAACTATGTGGGATCGAGCAGCACCCTCTGCTGGGAACAGCTCCCTGGTCCCTCAGTCTTCAGGGGATGGTTTTCATCCCCACGTAGCCGCCTCTGGACATCCCTTAGGAAGGGCACCCTAGGGATCACGAACCTTTGACGCCTCTGCCTGTTTCCCTCATCTTGCTTCTCACCTTGTGGCTCCTTTCTTGTGGCTCAAAGCTGAGTACCTTGTGACACTGCAGATTCTTGGAGAGTTTCAAGCCCCGGCCGACACTTTATCCAAGGAAGGATATCAGGATAGGGCTTCTACCTTTGGGCCTATCACAACAGCTCTCTTGCAGATGGTGGACCTGCTGGTTCCGGGTGGAACTGACCATCCCAGAGGCATGGGTAGGCCAGGAAGTTCACCTTTGCTGGGAAAGTGATGGAGAAGGTCTGGTGTGGCGTGATGGGGAACCTGTCCAGGTGAGGAACCCTGCCCTAGGGCCAGGTATGGCCACATTTCAGCCCTGAAATGACTGCAGCCCTTCTCCTGTGGACTCTAGAGAAGCTACAGCTGAGTTGCTCTGCCTACAGGGTGGTATCAGGATTTCAGGACTAAGGAAGTTGTCACTTGGGCATCTCTGCAATTGGTCCTTAGTTTTTATTCCATGTAATACAAACTTATAGGAAAACATTTCAAACAGTTCTAGATAAAGTAATGGATCTCTCCCTATCACCCATCCCATTCCCCAGCTATAACCACTGTTAAGTGTCTTGTTCATGCTCCACCCTTATCAGGTTTAGTCCTTATACTCCTATCTAGTAGGTCTTTATACCCATTTACAGATTAAGAAACTGAGATGTGTAGAGGTTAGTTCACTCACTCAGGTTCACACAGCTTCCATTTCAAGTTGGATTGACTCTTAATCTGGGGTTAAGACTGTTCTTCCTGGCTACAAGAAGGCAGAGACCTTCCCTCCCTCCCTTCACTGACTCAGCAAATATCCCCTGGTGTCCATTCTGGGCCATACCCTTAAGCACTAGGGTGTGGCAGAGAATGAGGCAAACCTGCCCTTAACTTCATGGAGTTTCTTTTCAGGTATTTATTTGGGGGTGCAGAGGCCACCAGAATCCACACTCAGGCCGCCTAACCCCTTTCCAGGGCCCTTCCCATAAGACCATGGCTTTGCCACTGGTAAACAGGGGCTATTTGGTGCTCATGGTGCTGGCTGCCATGGGAATTGGGGCATCTACTGCCAAGGGTCCCTGATTTGCCAATCTTGGCCCTGCTTGGGAGAGAGGACCCAGAGCTGGGGACCAGATGGAGGGACCTGTCTCCCCATGGCTTACACTTTATCTGAACTGTCCAAAGGCCTCAAGCCTTGTCTCTCTCACTCCCCTCCCTACTAGGGTTTAACCAAAGAGGGTAAGAAGACCAGCTATGTCCTGACTGACAGGCTGGGGGAAAGAGACCCCCGAAGGTGAGTCCCTGTGCCCTGGTTGACCAGTGCTGTCAGGGAGGGAGTACCAGTGAGCAAGGAGGAGCTGAGGCCCAGAGTGATCTCAGAAGCACCCCTCTGCTCCAGCACAATCATCCTCACATCTCATTGTTTGCTTTTAAAAGCATGATTTTTTCCTAACCATAAAAATAATGGGCTGGGTGCAGTGACCCACACTACCTGGGAGGCTGAGGTGGGAGGATCACCTGAGCCCAGGAGGCCGAGGCTGCAGTGAGCCATGATCACACCACTGCACTACAGCCTGGGCAACAGAGTGAGACTTTGTCTCAAAAATAATAATGTTTGCCTTGTGGTAAATACAGGAAAGCACAAAGAAAGAAATAACTACTGTTATTCCACTCCCTAGAATAGAGATGAACATTATTAACATCTCAGCATTCATGTTCTTTTTTTTTTTTTTTGAGACAAAGTCTCCCTCTGTCGCCAAGGCTGGAGTGCAGTGGCGCGATCTCAGCTCACTGCAACTTCTACCTCCCAGGTTCAAGTGATTCTCGTGCCTCAGCTTCCTGAGTAGCAGAGGATTACAGGTGTGTGCCACCACGCCCAGCTATTTTTTTGTATTTTTAGTAGAGAAAGGGTTTCACCATGTTGGCCAGGCTGGTCTCAAACTCTTGACCTCAGGTAATCCACCCTTCTCAGCTTCCCAAAGTGCTGAAATTACAGGTGCAAGCTACCGTGCCCAGCCCAGTATTCATGTTCTTGGTGTATCTTTCCAGCATAGTTTTTTTTTTGGTTTTTTTGGGTTTGGTTTTGTTTTGTTTTTTTGAGATGGAATTTCACTTTTGTTACCCAGGCTGGAGTGCAATGGCGCAATCTCAGCTCACTGCGACCGCCGCCTCCCAGGTTCAAGCAATTCTTCTGCTTCAGCCTCCCTAGCAGCTGAGATTACAGGTGCCCACCACCATGCCCAGCTAATTTTTTGTATTTTTAGTAGAGATGGGGTTTCACTCTGTTGGCCAGGCTGGTCTCAAACTCCTGACCTCAGGCTATCCACCCACTTCAGCCTCCCAAAGTGCTGGGATTACAGGCATGAGCCACTGTGCCCGACTCATCCTGGTGTGGTTTTTACTAGTTGAGATTGTATCCTGACTTCTTACATTCCATGTTATAACCTGGACATTTTATGACACCATTAAAAACACTTCTTAGACGTTATTATTGTATTTTATATTGATTGAACAGTTTCAGATGCTTCCAGACACTGGGAGTATGGTGGTGAATAAAATAGTCCTTGCCAACAAAGGGAGACAGGTCTACTCATATAATTACAAAGCTGAAGGCTCTGGAAGAAAATCCTGGGTAGTCCACTGAGGAATTTGCTCTAGACTTAGTGGGGAAGTGGAGTCAGCAAGGCCTCCCTAAGGAAGTCGTGTTTGTTCTCTGAAGCCTGAGTATGGCATCACCACAGCCCAGCCTGTTCTCCAATGAATGGCCCGCCCATGTAAGCCATGTTGGTTTTAGATCTTGGGTCTAAAAGTTCAAGCCTGGGAGATCCGAACATGCTTTTAATATGCAAAGAGGGTTCCAAGACCAAGGCAGTGCTTTGCAAAGACAACTTTGGAAATATAAGACTAAACAGCAGTGTAATTTACCGGATTCCAAACTGCTACTTATTCTCTCTGACAGCAGGACATAGGATCCATCTGGTGTTTGTACCCCAACCCTCCCACATGCGCTCTTGACACACTGTGGGATACTCTGGGTAGTGGATCCTGAAAGCAGACAGGTTGGCCTCAGCTGGATGCCTCCTGGGTGCCCCCTCCTCAAGTCCCCAGAGTGCTGTGCCAGTCCCTTAGCCTGAGGCTGTCTCCCCATGTTTGTAGCCTCACCCTCTATGTGGAAGTAGCCTGCAATGGGCTCCTGGGGGCCGGGAAGGGAAGCATCATTGCAGCCCCTGATCCTGAGAAGATGTTCCAGCTGAGCCGGGCTGAGCTGGCTGTGTTCCACCGAGATGTCCACATGCTCCTGGTGGATCTGGAGCTGCTGCTGGGCATAGCCAAGGTATTTGACACCCCCTGTACCCCCTGCTACCCTCTAGAGCCCTGCTCCAAGAAGGTTGTTCTTTGGGTCAGATAAATGGGACTCTGGGAATCCAGAGTAGGAAGAGGGTTTCCACCTGCTTGAGGGTTGAGAGAATTTTCCTATGTGAAGGGGAGGAGGGAGATGGTGCTGAGCAGGGGGACCAGCAGGGAAAAAGGGTTGGAGGTCAGGGGAGCTCTGCTGAGAGCGCTGAGGAGATCAGTGGGGCCTAGGTCTGGAAGCCATACTTGAAAAGGGGATTAAGGGGCAGAACCCTGCTGCAGGGCCTCGGGAAGGACAACCAGCGCAGCTTTCAGGCCCTGTACACAGCCAACCAGATGGTGAACGTCTGTGACCCTGCCCAGCCCGAGACCTTCCCAGTGGCCCAGGCCCTGGCCTCCAGGTTCTTTGGCCAACGTGGAGGTGAAAGCCAACACACCATTCATGCCACAGGGCACTGCCACATTGATACAGGTAGGACAGCAGCTAGTTGGGCTGGCTGGGGAGGCAGGAGTGCCCTTGAAGACCTGGATGTGTCCTAGAAGCACTGTGTGATGCTCAGCAAGTTCCTGCCCCTCTTGGACCTGAGTTTTCCCCATCTGTAAAATGGGACCAGGGGGGCTGGACTGTGGACTCTGCTTGCTTTGGATTCACTTATTCTTTTTTTTTTTTTTTTTTTTTTGAGATGGAGTCTTAGTCTTGTCACCTAGGGTGAAGTGCAATGGTGTGATCTCGGCTCCCTGCAACCTCTGCCTCCTGGGTTCAAGTGATTCTCCTGCCTCAGCCTCCTGAGTAGCTGGGATTACAGGCACCCACCACAATGCCTGGCTAATTTTTGTATTTTTAGTAGAGACGAGGTTTCACCACATTGGTCAGACTGGTCTCGAACTTCTGACCTTGGGTGATCCGCCTGCCTTGGCCTCCCAAAGTGCTGGGATTATAGACATGAGCCACTGTGCCCAGCCTCATTTATTCTTTCAACAAAATATGATGCCTCGTGGGGCCCATGCTAGATATTGAGGGTAGGATTATAGAGAAGGATTCAGCAGGCAGAGTTGGTGTCACAGTGGTGGGGAGTCTGGGGCACTGGAGAGCACAGAAGAGGTACTTACTCCACCTGGGCTGGGGGATTCCAGAGAGGCTTCCTCAAGTTTGCAGTGTCTTGAGTTTTATGGGAAATCCACGTTTTTAACAAGCTCCTGAAGGTATTGATTCTGATGCAGCTGGAGTTTTGGGATCACAGAACAAGGGCTTTCTCTGCTGTGCCAAGATGTAGGGTAAGGTGTGAGAGGTTCTAAACTGGTAAGGAAGGAACTGTGGCCTGGGGGTCAGGAGAGGCTGTAGCACCTCTGGCAGGACAGCCGGCTCCATCCTGGGAGCCATGTCCCTGTTCCCAGGTATCCGTCAAGTGTGTGCAGTGGCAGGGTAGTCCCTGCTGCCTCTCGGAGGATCCTCTAGGGGATGTCTAATTCCCCAAGAGGACTGAAGCTATTCCGGGACCTGGAGCCTCCATTTCCTGACCTGTATAATTGGACTTATAGCACTGCCGCCTCCTTTCCCCAGCCCCCCTCCCACCTTGCTGGAGTGAAGTGAAGTGACCACTCAGGAGAGACACCTCAGGGCTTTCCAGGGTGAAGGGCCTGGGATGGGAGGGAGGCTAGGTGACCCTCTGGAACCCCAGCGCGGGCCTGGTCAGCCTTGCCGCTCCCTCCATCCTCCACCCCACTCCCTGTTTAGCCTGGCTTTGGCCCTTCAAAGAGACCATGAGGAAATGTGCCCGGAGCTGGGTGACCGCCCTGCAGCTCATGGAGCGAAACCCTGAGTTCATCTTTGCCTGCTCCCAGGTCAGAGGGACAGCTGTGAGGGGGAAGGGAAGCACGTGGCCCTCCCTGGAGCTCCACAGGCCCTGAAGGTTTCCTGGGCCTGGGGGCAGGGCTGCTCCTCACCCTTAGCCACCCACTGAGTCCCATATGCTCTGTCCTGGGTGGGGCCCTCATCACTCTGGGCCCAGCTCCCCTCAACCTGCCCACAGGCGCAGCAGCTGGAGTGGGTGAAGAACCGCTACCCTGGCCTGCACTCCCGCCTCCAGGAGTTTGCGCGCCGTGGGCAGTTTGTGCCTGTGGGGGGCACCTGGGTGGAGATGGTAAGTGCACTGAGCACCCCTCAGCCTTGAACCGTATGACAACGGCCTTCCTTCAGGTAGCCCCAGCCCTCCTGGCTTTGCTGGTGACTTTCCGCAGGCCACTCATCCCCTGTGTGGCAGGGCTGGCTCATTAGTGCCTGGGATCTCAGGGCCTGGAACTTGAAGGGGGAGGAGAGCCTACAGCACTCTGACAAGTTGCATGGCCTAGTCCTAGGCACCCCTTCAGGCAGATGGACAGTCAGGCCTGAAGGACAGGGGCCCTTACTGAGTTCCGGCTGTAACTCCCATGTTGGAGCAGCCCTGGCTTCTCCTGCAGGGAGTGGGTTGGCCTGAGTGCCTGCCTGCTCCCCATCTAGCACTGACCTGGGCTGCCTCCCACTTCTTTCACTGCCAGGATGGGAACCTGCCCAGTGGAGAGGCCATGGTGAGGCAGTTTTTGCAGGGCCAGAACTTCTTTCTGCAGGAGTTTGGGAAGATGTGCTCCGAGGTAGGCTGAGAGCTGCTGCATCAGGCTGTGGGCAAGTGGGGCTGGCGCTCGACTTGGAGTGCTGAGGGGCTGAGGCTGGGGTGAGTCCACCTGGAGCTCTGGTTCCTGCACTCCAGGATCTTCTTTCCCAGCAGTTCTGGCTGCCGGACACCTTTGGCTACTCAGCACAGCTTCCCCAGATCATGCACGGCTGTGGCATCAGGCGCTTTCTCACCCAGAAATTGAGCTGGAATTTGGTGAATTCCTTCCCAGTAAGCAGGGACCCAGGGGGGTCAAGGTCAGAGTGGGTCAAAGTCCCACCTGGCCCATTTGCCTCTTCCCCCTTATTGAGGGGTCCTAGACAGACCACCAAACCCTCACTCTGCTTCTGCCAGGGTCACATAGCAGGCAGGGGCAGGACCAAGTCTGGAAGGCCTGGCGCTGCCTCAGCCCTGACTCTGGCCTCTCTGCCCTGCCTCTGTTTCTCTGCTGGTAGCACCATACTTTTTTCTGGGAGGGGCTGGATGGCTCCCGCGTACTGGTCCACTTCCCACCTGGCGACTCCTATGGGATGCAGGGCAGCGTGGAGGAGGTGAGGGGTCACCTAGGGTGGTGGGGTAGGGGCAGGCTGGAGAGGGCTGGCTTCTCCCAGGCTGATCCATGCTGGCCTGCCCTCACCTGTCTAGGTGCTGAAGACTGTGGCCAACAACCGGGACAAGGGGCGGGCCAACCACAGTGCCTTCCTCTTTGGCTTTGGGGATGGGGGTGGTGGTCCCACCCAGACCATGCTGGACCGCCTGAAGCGCCTGAGCAATACGGATGGGCTGCCCAGGTCAGGCCGGGCCTTGGCTCTCCTTTAGCCCCAACCTGGGCCCTTGCCATGAGCCCTGCCTTCCCTCAGACATTGGACCCAACCCCTCATCTGGACCTTGTCCTGTCCCAATCCTAGACCACGGGTTCCTCCAAACTTCCACCCTGGGGATGGGTGGGGGAAAAGCTGAAGGTGGTAAGGGCTCCAGCCCACCAGAGAGAGAGGCTCTCCTAGGGCGTCCGGGGCTGGCAATGTGTGGACGGGGAGCTTTCTGGAGTGGCTCCTTTCTGTAGGGGCTGGATCCTTTGCTCTGGTGTGGAAGAAGGGTGAGCCATGTGGTCTCCAAGGCTGGGAGACCCAGACTTGTGGTCTCCTCAGGGTGCAGCTATCTTCTCCAAGGCAGCTCTTCTCGGCACTGGAGAGTGACTCGGGGCAGCTGTGCACATGGGTTGGGGAGCTCTTCTTGGAGCTGCACAATGGCACATACACCACCCATGCCCAGGTCAGGGGCAGGTTGCAGGGCCGTGCAGGGAGGGTGTGCCCTTGATCTGCAGAGGGTCAGAGAAGGCAGCAGGGGAGAGAGCCCAGGCCAGATCTAGGGGAAGAGAAGTTTGGAGGAGAGAAGTTCAAGACCTGGGTTGGTCAAGAAGGCTTGAAGGAGGCAGTGTCCCTGAAGAAAGGGGTTGGGGCTGCGGGGAGAAGAGGGAAGGCATTTAAGGCAGGTCACTTCCAGAGGCCTTCTCCACGAGGCCCTTGGGGGGTCCTCAGGGATTCTGAGCAAGGGAGGGCTTTGGAAGGTGTCCTGGGACACCTAAGCAGGCTCCAGACTGATCTTCCCATCCCGGGCTCAGATCAAGAAGGGGAACCGAGAATGTGAGCGAATCCTGCACGATGTGGAGCTGCTCAGTAGCCTGGCCCTGGCCCGCAGTGCCCAGTTCCTATACCCAGCAGCCCAGCTGCAGCACCTCTGGAGGTCAGCCTGGTTCTGTCCCTGCCACCCACCTGACTGCTCACTGCAGATACCTCTGTGGCTGCCCCTCCCAGTCTTCCCATCCCTGCCCTTGGCCCCTGCAGGCTCCTGCTTCTGAACCAGTTCCATGATGTGGTGACTGGAAGCTGCATCCAGATAGTTGCAGAGGAAGCCATGTGCCACTACGAAGGTTAGGCTCACAATAGTCCTTCCCGCTCTCTCCAATGCCAGGGCTGAGCCCGGACTGTCTCCTGTGGGATACCCATGGGCTCATTCCAGACCTGTTGCCCACCTATGACCAGCCAGTCTCTCCTCAGACATCCGTTCCCATGGCAATACACTGCTCAGCACCGCAGCCGCAGCCCTGTGTGCTGGGGAGCCAGGTCCCGAGGGCCTCCTCATCGTCAACACGCTGCCCTGGAAGCGGACCGAAGTGATGGCCCTGCCCAAGCCGGGTGGGGCCCACAGCCTAGGTACAAGCTGAGGGGAAGGGTTGCTATTGCAGCAGGAAGGATGGAGGCCAGACAGATCAGGCCTGGGATACCCCTAGGGATCTGGGTGCCCCTGACTGGAGAGTAGTAGCTCATCTTCCACCACCCCACCCCCACCTACGCAAGCTTCCTGAAAGGTCAGGAAGGCTGCACTGATGCCCAGGCCTCACCCCCAGCCCTGGTGACGGTGCCCAGCATGGGCTATGCTCCTGTTCCTCCCCCCACCTCACTGCAGCCCCTGCTGCCCCAGCAGCCTGTGTTCGTACTGCAAGAGGTGAGTCCTGCATGTCCTAGGGGGCAGGAGCTGTGCTGGGATGCTTTCTGACAATTGAGCTCCCCTGCCTGGAGCAAGTAGTGAGGCGGGGCTGGGGTTGGGGTGGGAGGACTTTTGGTGTGGGAAGCCCCTACAGACTCAGCCTCAAGGCCTCCTCCCACAAAGACTGATGGCTCCGTGACTCTGGACAATGGCATCATCCGAGTGAAGCTGGACCCGACTGGCCGCCTGACATCCTTGGTCCTGGTGGCCTCTGGCAGGTGCCAACTCCTTACTGCCCTTTCCCAGTGCCTGGCAAGGAGACCCCAGCCCGTTTCCTCTGTCCCCTGGCCGCAACACTGCCCACAGCAGCCCACCAGTGGCTGTGGGCTGGAACCCACACATGGAGCAGGGCAGGCTGGGCAGTAGTCGCCTGTCCCCTGGGTCTACTCACTCCACCCTACCCCACCAAGAGCAGCTGGAGGGAGCAAGGTCAGATGGTTGTACAGCATCAATCCCATGTCCTTCCAGGGAGGCCATTGCTGAGGGTGCCGTGGGGAACCAGTTTGTGCTGTTTGATGATGTCCCCTTGTACTGGGATGCATGGGACGTCATGGACTACCACCTGGAGACACGGTATGGGCTGGGCAGCATGTGGGGATGGTGGAGGTGGCAGGAACACAGGCTGTTCTGGCTCAGTATGTCCACCCCTGTCCCATAGGAAGCCTGTGCTGGGCCAGGCAGGGACCCTGGCAGTGGGCACCGAGGGTGGCCTGCGGGGCAGCGCCTGGTTCTTGCTGCAGATTAGCCCCAACAGTCGACTTAGCCAGGAGGTTGTGCTGGATGTTGGCTGCCCCTATGTCCGCTTCCACACCGAGGTAGTGGTGGGGGGGGACAGGGTGGCTGTTTTCCCCAAGTGTGCTTGGTAAGGAGGGGCCAGCCCCAGGCCTGGGTGTGTCTCTTCCTTCCCTGACTTCCACCCTCCATCCTGCTCCCAGGTACACTGGCATGAGGCCCACAAGTTCCTGAAGGTGGAGTTCCCTGCTCGCGTGCGGAGTTCCCAGGCTACCTATGAGATCCAGTTTGGGCACCTGCAGCGACCTACCCACTACAATACTTCTTGGGACTGGGCTCGATTTGAGGTCTGACATGGCAGGGTGCGAGTGGCCTTGGATTCCTCCCTGGCTGGGGAGACTGCTTGTGTGGTACGGGCTGGGGAGGAAGAGGATAATCAACATTTGCTGCTTCCTAAGGTGCGTGCCAGGCATTGCACTAAATGCTTTACATTGGCCGGGCACGGTGGCTCATGCCTGTAATCCCAGCACTTTGGGAGGCCGAGGCAGGTGGATTGCCTGAGTTCAGGAGTTCAAGACCAGCCTGGCCAACATGGTGAAACCCCGTCTCTACTAAAAATACAAAAATTGGCTGGGCGCAGTGGCTCAGGCCTGTAATCTCAGCACTTTGGAAGGCCGAGGCGGGCGGATCACGAGGTCAAGAGATCGAGACCATCCTGGACAACATGGTGAAGGCCTGTCTCTACTAAAAATAAAAAAAAATTAGCTGGGTGTGGTGGCGCACGCCTGTAGTCCCAGCTACTTGGGAGGCTGAGGCAGGAGAATCGCTTGAACCCTTTAGGTGGAGGTTGCAGTGAGCTGAGATTATGCCACTGCACTGCAGCCTGGCGACAGAGTGAGACTCCATCTCAAAAAAAAAAATTAACCGGGTGTGGTGGTACATGCCCTGTTATCCCAGCTACTTGGGAGGCTGAGGCAGGAGAATCACTTGAACCCGGGAGGCGGAGGTTGCAGTGAGCCCAGATCATGCCACTGCACTCCAGCCTGGGTGACAGACTGAGATCCTGTGTGAAAAAAACAAAAAAAGTTTTGCATTTAATTTGATACTCATGATCATTCGGTGGGGTAAGTACTATTATTTATTCATTCCATTTCACAGATAGGAAACTGAGGCTTAGGCAGGTTGGGTGGCATGCCCAGAGCCCCGTGCAGTGGGAGCTGGAGTTCAGTTGTGTGGTTCTAGAGCTTGTGCTCAGCCTAGTGACAGGAGCTCTGGAGTCTACAAGCACAGAGAGGGGCACAGGGCCACCAAGTGGGTCTTGGATCTGCTCTCCAGGTGTGGGCCCACCGCTGGATGGATCTGTCAGAACACGGCTTTGGACTGGCCCTGCTCAACGACTGCAAGTATGGCGCATCAGTGCAAGGCAGCGTCCTCAGCCTCTCGCTGTAAGTGGGGTACCCACCAGGCCTGGGAGCTGGCATGGGGACATGGGTCTTCCCGGCCACAACTCCACCAGCTTCAGCCTGGCCCCTACTTGCTCTCCTTACCCCAGCTTGCGGGCGCCTAAAGCCCCGGACGCTACTGCTGACATGGGGCGCCACGAGTTCACCTATGCGCTGATGCCCCACAAGGGTGAGTGCTGGGGACGGTGGGGCCTTCCTGCATCCCTAGACACCTCTCTGCCCTTCTGTGAGCCCAAACCCCAGCAGCCTGGCTCCCTGTTCCTTCTAGGGACATGGGAGGGTAGCCCCCACTCTCCACCAGCATTGTTTCCTGGTCATTCCCCAGGCTCTTTCCAGGATGCTGGCGTTATCCAAGCTGCTTACAGCCTAAACTTCCCCCTATTGGCTCTGCCAGCCCCCAGCCCAGCGCCCGCCACCTCCTGGAGTGCCTTTTCCCTGTCTTCACCCGCGGTCGTACTGGAGACTGTCAAGCAGGCAAGGGGTGGGATGTGCTGGGGGCGGGGTCCTGGACTGGGCCCGCCCTCGGCCCCCGCTCACCAGCCCTGTCCCTCTGCAGGCGGAGAGCAGCCCCCAGCGCCGCTCGCTGGTCCTGAGGCTGTATGAAGCCCATGGCAGCCACGTGGACTGCTGGCTGCACTTGTCGCTGCCGGTTCAGGAGGCCATCCTGTGAGTGGCAGTGCGGGATGGGAGTGGGGGTAGAGTCTCGCCCTCGCAGAGCCCTCATGGCCCCTCCTGTTCTCCAGCTGCGACCTCTTGGAGCGACCAGACCCTGCTGGCCACTTGCCCCTTCGGGACAGCCGCCTGAAGCTCACCTTTTCTCCCTTCCAAGTGCTGTCCCTGTTGCTCGTGCTTCAGCCTCCACCACACTGAGTCCCTGGGGCTGGGGTTTTGTTTGTGGAAGGTTCTGGGGACTCCTAATTTCTGTTTCCCCAGCCTAAAGCAGGGATCAGTCTCTTCTTGTGGAATAAATCCTTGGATCAGGAACCCTGCTGGTAGCCACTGCTCGCTCCCCTTAGGGCCCATCCTCAGGCTTGGGGTCGGGGTGGGAGGTCTGGGGTGGGATGGTTTCCCAGGTATTTGGTGGGTAGGGGCAAGATCCTAAAGTACCTGTGTGTGCAGGGTCTGGGTTGCAGCCCCCACAAGAGATTGGTGACCTCGAGTGACCAAAAGCCAATGAAGAGACCATGAGTTGAGAAGCTCCCCTCTGTGCCAGCAGGCAAAGGGCCTGGGCCTGGGGCTGGGGAGGGGCCGAAGGGTGGGTTTTGCCTGGCTCCTGCCAGGATGGGGGAACAGCCCTGGACCCTGGAGAATCTGAACTGGAGGAGCTATGGCTCCTGGGCGGCCTGGGGCCAGGGTCTTTGTACCACCTCTGAGGGGCTGTCCCTGCAGAGGCAAACTGTCCTCTGATAGAGCCAGAGACTTGAGGACTGGTATGGGGGCTCAGTTTTGCCTTGTGAGGAGCTGGGCCTCCTGTCCCCAGGACTGGGCAGGAGGCCCTTCCTACCTGGCCATGTCAGACCAAGAGGTGCCAAGAAGTTCAAATTTATCAGTTTATTAAAAATGCAGCATTTTTCACATGAGCTTTAAAGATGTGGAAGGTGGGGTACAATTAAAAACATGAGAGTTGTGCAGGGAACAGCCATAGGGCCTGTTTGCACCTTCAGATATTGCCTGCTCCCAAGAATTCAGACCCCAAGATTCAGGGCAAGACAAGAAAGGGTGAGTGCAGCAAGGAGACCCTCCTGCTAAGAGGCTGAGGTCCCCTCCGGGTCCAAGGATGGGGTGTCAGCCTTGACCTTCCGGGGTCTGCGGTGGCCTGGGGGAAGAACAGGCAAGATGGTGAGCTCAGACTCCCAGGGGCTGCCGTGGCAGCCTCTCCCCTACCTTTGTTCATGCGCTCCTAGGCCACCATCCCATCCTCTCCTGTAGAGCCCGTTGCTGGGAGTGATGAGGAAAGCCCACCGGAAGCCGCCTGTCGCCCCTTTCTCCTCCCCTTCTTGGGCACTGTGGGAACTTCTGGGTCCTGCTGGAGGCTGGGCCCCTCAGGCAGCTGAGTTGCAGTCCTCTCAGGAAGGTCTCTCTTTGCCCTTCGTGTCCTGGAAAGGGCCTTGCTTGGAGGCGAAGGGTCCTGGATGGAGGAGACACGGGTCCCTGAGGGGCTCAGAGAGCAGTTTAGAGGTTGGTTAGGGCCCACTATTCCCCCCGCCCTCTTAGGGTAAGGCAGCTGCCTAGGAGGGGCAGCCAGGGCTGGAGAGTGCAGGGGAAGAGGAGGTGGGAGCAGGCAGCGATACCTCCACTCTGTCCTCAGGACTCGGCTGTGTGGCCTTGGATTTCTTTTTGCGGGATTTGCGCCCTGCAGGACACTGCTGTTGGAGTTGGAGGGTCCTATCCTGCCCAGGGGTGACTCCCAGGGTTGCAGGGGGATAGAGTGGAGAAGGGTGCTGTAGCCCTTGCAGGTGTGAAGTCCTTTCTGCTCTCTTAGCCTATTACATTAGGAGTAGCTTACCTTTGGGTGCCAAGGGTCCAGGATCCCCCTAAAATGGGATGGGGATAATTCAGGAATCAGCCTGGGTTGGCACAGGGGCAGTATTCCTTGGAGAGGTGGGACTCACACACACCCATCCAGATCAATGTAGCTTCTCCCCCAGGAAGCCTCTAAGACCTCCCCCATGTCAGAGTCCACATCAGCAAAGCTGCCCTGCCCTTGGGCTACTTCTACTAGCTGCGACCCTGGGACGCAAGGGAGGGGAGGGATGTGACCCTCAGGAACAGTGTGATCCTTGGAGGGTCTAGACAGGCCCTGAGTATCTCCACCCCAATTCTTGTGAGCCCACGTTTCCACGCATCAGCTTCCTGGGGTCTCTGTTTGCCTGTGTGAACAGTAGGGCCCAACCTGGAACCAGATGGTACGGCCATGCCGGTCCTGCAGGGAGCTCATGCCTGGCATGCCATAGCAGCGCAGCCAGGCTCGAAAGGCGGCAAAGTCCTCCTCCCCGCTCTCTGACCCGTAGCCTTTGCCCCCTGTGGGACAGAGGAACAGGCAGAGATCAGAGGGCAGGCTCAGGTTGGGAGGAGTGGAGAGCCTGGTTAGACCTGGCCCAGACCTCAGCTACACAAGCTGATGGACTGAGTCAGGGGCCACACTCTCCCTCCTCTGGTGATGTGACCTCAGCTGGTTTCTTCCCACTCGGCCATGGGTTTCCCATCCTGGAGTGGGATTAAGAATCCTTGTCCTGGCCCTGTGCAGTGGCCCACACCTGTAATCCCAACACTTTGGGAAGCTTAGGTGGGAGGAGCCCTAGGGGCCAGGAGTTCAATACCAGCCTGGGCAACATAGGGAGATCCTGTCTCTACAAAAAAAAATTTTAACAATTAGCCTGGTGTCGTGGTGTGAGCCTGTAGTCCTAGCTACTTAGAGGCAGAGGTGGGAGGATCACTTGAGCCCAGTTTGAGGCTAGTCTAGGCAACATGGCAAGATCCCATCTCTACCAAAAGTAATACATATACACGTGTGTGTGTGTGTGTGTGTGAATATATGAAAGAATCCCTGTCCTGCCTGTCTCATGGGCAGCTTGGAGGAAACACTATGTTTTGTTTTGTTTTGTTTGAGATGGAGTTTTGCTCTTGTTGCCCAGGCTAGAGTGCAATGGCGTGATCTTGGCTCACTGCAACCTCCACCTCCTAGGTTTAAGCGATTTTCCTGCCTCATCCTCCCAAGTAACTGAGATTACAGGTGCTCACCACCATACCTGGCTAATCATTTGCATTTTTAGTAGAGATGGGATTTCACCATGTTGGCCAGGATAGTCTCGAACTCCTGACCTCAGGTGACCCACCCCACTCGGCCTCCCAAAGTGCTGGGATTACAGGCAGCCACTGCGTCCGGCCTGGAAACACTATTGACAAGTCAGGAGGCCTAGTCCATTGAATAACTAGGGCTACAAACTTCCAAATGAGTGAATCAGGCCCAGAGAGGGACAAGTGCCCCAGGGTTACACAATCATTTGCTGAAGCAGAGGTCACCGCCATCTTTGGCCTCACCCAACTGGACCACTTCCTTGGGCACTGAGTGGCATAGCTCCAGGAGGTCTGGATTCTGCAGCTTGGCCTTGATCTTCTGGCTGAGGGTCAGCTTCAGGCTCTGAGGAAGGGGCAGGGGCAGGGGCAGGGGCAGGACCTGTCTGTCAGTGGAGCAATGTAAAGGCAGCTGACCTTCCCTGTGAGCTTGGCCAGACCTTGGGTGGTTCATCGCCTCCCCACCCCCGTTGTTGAGCTAAGCTGGGGACACCTGACCCCACCCATCTCCTTGCCAGCCCACATGGACACCAGTGTGCCAGCACAAGTGCTCCATCCCTCTCTGGGCTCACCGGCCTGCGCTGCTGCAGGGCCTCCAGGACCGAGCGGGCCTTCTCAAAGGGAGGGATCTTCAGCCTGTAGTGGGGGGAGGGGAAGCCATGCTAGGCAGTGGGGAATGTGGGCATACCTGGCCCACCCCAGTCCCCATGCCCATGCCTGCTTGCTGACCGGTACAGGATCTCTGCCCGCAGATAGTTGCCAATGCCATTGAAGAACCTCTGGTCCAGGAGGGCCTCGCAGATGGGCCGGTCAAAGGCCTTGTCCGCTAGGTTTCGTAGCACATTCTCCCTGGAGGGACACAGTCTGGGTGCCTAAGACCCATTCCCACTCTCCATGGGATGGGGAGAGGGGCTCAGAGAACCTATTTCTGGGTGCAAGGGGAAGGAAACTGGGAGTTCCAGTTTCTCTTCTCCCTGCCCCAGTTTTCCTGTCTGTTAAATGGGAACATCATGGGATTTAAATTCATTGTGATAGGACGGCCGGGCACGGTGGATCACGCCTGTAATCTCAGCACTTTGGGAGGCCGTGGCAGGCAGATCACTTGAGGTCAGGAGGTCGAGACCAGCCTGGCCAACATAGTGAAACCCTGTCTCTACTAAAAATACAAAGTTAGCTAGGCATGATGGTGGGTGCCTGTAATCCCAGTTACTTGGGAGGCTGAAGCAGGAGAATCTCTGGAACCAGGGAGGTAGAGGTTGCAGTGAGCTGAGATCATGCCACTGCACTCCAGCCTGGGCCACAGAGCGAGACTCCATCTCAAAAAATAAAAACAAAATTAAAAATAAATTCATTGTGAAAGGTGAAAAATACTGATCTAAAGTAACGTGAGGCTGGTGTGGTGGCTCACACCTATAATCCCAGCAGTCTGGGAAGCTGAAGCAGGAGGATTGCTTCAGTCCAGGAGACCAGCCCGGGCAACAAGGAAGACTCCGTCTCTACCAAAAATTTTAAAAGTAGCCAGGGACTTAGTGGTGTGCTCGTGTGGTTCCAGCTACTCAGGCGGTTGAGGTAGGAGAATCACCTCAGCCCTGGAGCTGCAATGAGCTGTGATGGCACCACTGCACTCCAGCCTGGGCAACAAAGTGAGACCCTTGTCTCAAAAAGCAACATGAGGTTGTATATGAGGTTGTGAGTTTATCACCTCAGACTCCTCAGGACATGAGAACAGTGTGGCCACAGGACCTCAAGTGCGTTTGTAGTCTGGAGCTCCCTGTATAGCATTTGTGGTGGGTTAGAGACTATATGTGGGTTTGCCATTGTTAGGGTCCATTCTTCTCAAGATCCTGGATATTGTCTGGTTCTGTGCAGCAGATATGTGGGGTACCAGTGAGGGCCCTAGCAGCCCCCACCCCACCTCCAAGGGTCATGGGTGTCTCCTCCCCACAGTAAAGAGGATGCGCATCTTGTTTCTTTGCGGAAAAGGGTCGTGGCAAGACTGACTAGTGGGTGTGATGAGTGGACCAGAAGACAGAGTTCTGGGGTGAAGGTACAAGGGTAGCCTGGGAGGTGCCCTGATCCCTGTGGGAATCCAATCGCCACACGCCCCAGCTGGAGGACTAAGAAAACAGCCCAAATGCTCGCGGTTTGAGAGAAACTTCAGAGCCAGCTGGCAGAGTTAACTTGTGGTGTGACTCCCCAGGAAGGCTGAGGTTGGAGGAATCCAGAACCAAAGACAGATGTTTCCCTGGGGATGTGCTTGGGGTTCACACATGGGAAGGCCAGGAGTCAATGGCCTTCTAAGGCACCAGAGACATCCCCGACCCATCCCACAGGCATCCAAGTCCCCTAAGGGCCAACGGACACCCAGGGTCCCCCAGAAGGGGAGAACTTGCCAAGCCCACTCCAGGCCTCTGCATTTGTGACTCTTGTCAGTTCCAATGCCTTCCTCTGGCTGGCTCCTTCTCATCAGTCAGGCCTCAGCTCAAACCTCCCTAGAGTGGCCATTGCTAATGCACCCCCACCCTCGGCCAAGTCATCCTCTACCTCCTTCACCTGTTGGGTTTTCCTCAGGCATGGGTCCATTTCTCATTCCCCTACCCTATGTGAACATCAGTTCTGTGGGAGCAGGGGCCACATTCATCTTGTTCACTGCTGTACCCCGAGCCCCTAGAACAAGGCCTGGCACGAAGCAGAGACTCATACACGTTTCTTCTTCAGAGGAAAGGAAGTGGCCAACACTGTACCATCTGAGGTGACCTGCATCACATCCCAGGTGGGGCTGTTATACCCTCCTGCAGGCAGGGAAGCGGCACAGAGGAGACCACAGGACACAGAGTAGTGGGCAGGCCGGATGTGGGAGACCACAAAGCCCAAGACAGAAGCCATGTCATGAGGTAGTCCCCTCCCCATCCCCTTGAAACAATTCCGCTCAGCCTCACTTACCATGTTAAAGCCCCTCTACTTTCTCAGCCTCCTGGGAGCCCTGAGAGGTGGTGTGGGATTGTGAGTGGGAGCCCCGGCTTCTCTGACACTAACTGGCCACATGTCCTCAGGGCAGTGCCTACCCATCCTCCTCTTGACTCTCCTCTCTCCTCCCCCATCAGTTATTATTATCATTATTTTTTGAGACACAGTCATGCTCTGTTGCCCAGGTTGCAGTGGAGTGGTGCTATCTCGGCTCACTGCAACCCTGCCTCCCCGGCTCAAGCGATTTTATTGCCTCAGCCTGTAGCTGGGGTTACAGGCATGTGCCACCATGCCCGGCTAATTTTTGTATTTTCAGTAGAGACAGGGTTTCACCATGTTGGCCAGGCTGGTCTCGACCTGACCTTAAGTGATCTACCTGCCTCGGCCTCCCAAAATGCTGGGATTACAGACGTGAGCTACAACACCCGGCCTCCAATTAGTTTTGAGTTTCCATGTCCATTGGCTCAGGGAGCTGACCCAGGACAGGGACACTGTCTTGATCTGCAGATGAGGGGACTGAGGCCCAGAAGGAGCAGGGACTTGCCCTTTGTTGACCAAGAAGGCACTAACAGAGTGTTAGTGTTACAGAGTGTTGACCAAGAAGGCACTAACAGGTTCATCACACCTGGTGCTGGCCCTACCTGAACTGCTCATACTCCTGCAAGACACAGGGCCCGCGGCCTGGCTGCCACTTGCCCCCAAGGTCCCAGTGGCCAAACCGGCGGACGTCCACGAAACACAGGGCGAGCTGGGGGCCAGGCGGGGCCGTATAAAAGCGCAGGTGGGCATGGCGTGGCAGCTCCTCGCGGGGCACCAGCTGAAAAGAGCCGGACATGCCAAAGCGAAAGACCAGGGCCAGGGGCTCCTGTGGGGGCTGGGCCCCAGGCAGAGGGCTCAGTATCAGGCGCAGCTCCTTGCCGCGGGCTGAAGCTGAGATGCGGTAAGCACTGCTCTCAAAGGGCACCTCGGGGTTGCGGCTGACAGAGGACTTCTCCACGCAGCCGCCGAACACCAGCGCCCCGCAGGCCTCGTTCACAAACTGGCTGGCCAAGTGCAGCTCAGGGCCCTCAGGCATCCTGGGGGGGGCGGCGGAGTCCTGTTGGGGAGGAAGGTAGCAGGTGGAGCCCGGTGTGGACTTTGTGAGGTAGGGGCTGTCAGCCCCATTTTTAGAGGAGAACTCGGAGGGTCAGAGGGGCATGTGGCCAGCTGAGGCTGGCAGGAAAGTGCGGGCCTGGCCACTGCCCTGAATCCCCTACCCGGACAAGTGCCTGGAAAGCCCAGGGCACTGGGAGCTGGGGCTGCAGAGGGGGTAGGACTCTGCCTTGCTGCTAACCGCTTCCTTCCATGGGCTTCCGCCCCGTTTAGAGGAAAGTCCGAACCCTTGCGG